GAGAAAATCCGTGGATATCACTGACCGATCTGGACGTTGTTGATACTTACAAGTTGTCGGGGCTATAAGAAATAATAATAAAAATCAGTAGAGAAAATCCGTGGATATCACTGACCGATCTGGACGTTGTTGATACTTACAAGTTGTCGGGGCTATAAGAAATAATAATAAAAATCAGTAGAGAAAATCCATGGATATCACTGACCCATCTGGACGTTGTTGATACTTACAAGTTGTCGGGGCTATAAGAAATAATAATAAAAATCAGTTGAGAAAATCCGTGGATATCACTGACCGATCTGGACGTTGTTGATACTTACAAGTTGTCGGGGCTATAAGAAATAATAATAAAAATCAGTAGAGAAAATCCATGGATATTACTGACCGATCTGGACGTTGTTGATACTTAGAAGTTGTCGGGGTTATAAGATAATAATAATAATAAAAATCAGTAGAGAAAATCCATGGATATTACTGACCGATCTGGACGTTGTTTGTATTTACAAGTTGTCGGACTTTAAAAGAGTAACTTAAAATGAGTTGAAAAAATCATGGATTGTGACAGCCTTAATTCGATTAACATAAACTAAAAACTAAGGTGAGGTAGCATGTGGCGAGAAACGTAAGAAAGATAATAAGTGGTGCAACCAAGTATCGCAAAGTAAACTCATTGGCGTTATCAACAAGTTGGAAATTCACTAAATCTCTTTTTGAATTAGTCAAAGTACTTATTTTTTTTTTTTTTTTTGCAGTTGGAGATTAATTTATAAAACTAAAAACAACTCAAACTTCAGTCATTCTAACTTAAAAAATGTGAACTGTTATTTAATAATTTGCTCAGAGAAATTTTAATGTTCTTCCGTTAGATGACGCTTTCACCATTTCAGGGATAAAAGTAACTAGCAAAGTTTGGTTTGTTTTCCATTTAGCGCAAAGCTACTCGAGGGCTATCTGCGTTAACCGTCCCTAATTTAGCAGTGATAGACTATGTGGAATGAATCTAGGCAACACCACCCACCGCCAATTCTTGGGCTACTCTTTTACCAACGAATAGTGGGATTGACTGTCACGTAATAACGTCTCAACGGCTGAAAGAACAAGCACTTTCGATGATGGAGATACGAAAGCGCGACCTGCAGATTGCGGGTCGAGCGTTCTAAACTCCAGGCCATACCAAGAAGAGGTTGATAGTCCAGCCTTCCTGGTAATTAGTCAGTCTTATTTCAAACTTTCGATATTCAGTCAGAGATAGTTGACATTTTAAACTATATTTGTTGTTATAGCCAATCTTGGAGAGAGAGCACAGAATTTTGAATATATTATTTTCATCTAAGATTTACATGTCCCTCGGGGAGTCAGCGGTAAGTTTACAGATTTACAACGCAAAAATCCATTATTCCCTGCGATGGGCAGAGTGCACATAGCCCATTCTGTAGCTTTGCACTAAAAAAACAACAACAACAGTCTAAGGTTCATCTCCATCCAGTGCAACTTAATAAGATACTACACACAGTTGTCACCCTGCCACACACAAAAAACTGATTCGCATAGTGTATGAAATCCGTGAAGACGTCTGTGTTTTAAAACCAATAGTAAAGTCTGTGCGTGTTCAAGTTACTGTAGTGGCTCTTGCCGTCGGCCACGTTTTTGCTAGAAGTAAAGGTTTTCAACAACCGTAGAAATTGGTGAATGTGTATGATTGGGAATTTTAACCCTTTACTTATTTAATTTCCTGCAACACAGTTTTCATTCTAAAATAAATACGAGCTTGTTATAACAGCTCTATTACTAATTCCATTCTAACCATCGGATAAAGAGTAATAGTAATATCGTATTGTATTTTCCGTCTCTGTTTAAATCCAATTCAACCCCTCCCCTTTAGTCGACTAACGGATATATTACTCATTCTCGCCAGAAACAATTAATGTGAAAGAACCCTGTTTTTCAATAAATAAGCCGGACATTTACCCCGATGTAAACAAACTATATCTCCGTCAGAATAGAAACCAGGTCAGTTAAAGCGGATGTTTTCTCTACAAACTACAAATCCGAGTCAGCAACATGCACGCATGCTGTACATAGACTTTACTAGTTGACGTTAGGTGCACTAGATATATCATCGATTTTGTAGATCCAACAGAAATTATTCACATTTTTTGGTATTAAATCTTACAGCTTCAAAAGAACGGTGTACTCTTTCTTGCTGCTTGGTCTGGAATTACACGAAGGAAACTAATTCGTGGGTCATCATACTGGAAGTTTATTTTCATGATATTCCAAACTAATGACGTTCTCTGCAAAACTGTGTTATTTATTACTTTGTTTAGGCACATTAGGGGTATCGTTTACAAGTTATGTTGTTGTGTGGCGTTTTGTGTTATTATACCGTGTATTTCTTAGCTGGGTTTGCAATCTATACTTGATAAGCTGATTTGTTAATTTGTCTTCTGTGTAAGTTAAGAGAAATAATGAAACGGATATGTGACAAAAATAGTATGAGCTGTTCACTTCTAGTAGAAAGCGTGACAATTGGTATATAATGATTTTAAGACATGTCAATTTCAATACTTTATGGAAGTAAGTTGTCAGAATAAGGCTTCTTGCTTAAATTGAGTGTAATGTAAGTTCGCGTCGAGACGACAGTATTTGATATTTGTAATTTAAATAACTACTTTAGTACAAGCAATCATTACATACGTGTTAATGTCACATTTTATTGAAATGTAATTCAAAACATCGAGTTTCATTATTGTACTTCATATCTTCAAAGTTTAAAAATTACTACAGAACATACAATCATCGCCTTGGTGCAATAATGAGTCAAGTGACACATGGTTGCTGCAATAATGAGTCAAGTGACACATGGTTGCTGCAATAATGTGTCAAGTGCACTTGCTGGCCTGGTGGTTATGGCGCTTGACTCCCATTTTGCGGGTCGCGCGTTTGAATCACTGTCACACCGAACATGCTTATCCTTTCAGCTGTGATGACGTTATAATGTGACGGTCAATCCCACTATTCATTGGTAAAAGAGCAGCCCAAGAGTTGGCGGTGGGTGGTGTTGGCTAGCTGCTTTCCCTCTAGTCTATCACTGCTAAATTAGGGACGGCTAGCGCAGATATCCTTCGTGTAGCTTTACGCGAAATTCAAAACAAACAAAGTGCACTTGCTCCTTTCTTTTGAACTAGAATAATGATGTTTACTTTATGGAAAAATATCAGATCAAAATATAAGTACACTTAACTTTTATGCGCATGTTTTTGAAATGTAACATTCCGCAAGATTAAGTGAAGTGAGCATTTAAATAATATTGAGTCACAATACAAAACGTTGTAACCGACAACGATATATTTTACTGTTTGAAACTACTTAAACAAATTGACTGTTTTCAGTAGGAAAATGGAAGTTTTTCCTAAAGAAAACAAATGAGACAGTTTTAACTAGTACGGTTAAAGTATTTGGAGTTTTAGTGATAAAAACAAATAAATACTAACTCTCTATTTATGACTTTCACTATTATTTCTCCTATTAGTTTCGAAAATATTTTATTAAAGAGTGTGAGGAAAAACATTATCTATTAATTATTATTTAACGAATGTGATAATCATTCATAGCATAGCTTAGTGTCATAAACAATACAACAGGTGCATACAGATGGCATGGAAAAAATAAAGTTAAAACTGTGGAACTTATACAGTTATAGGAGTAGAAATATTAGTTGCATAGGGAATTGCCCTAAAGATTTAGCTCTAAACCTTGTCCTCAAAAAATATTTAGAACTAAACGTCAGTAAGTCATGAAACCTAAATTTATAGAAATCTCTAATACTGGTTTATTAGGACACTAGTTTTTGTTATAAAATATCGAGAAAATTAATTTTGGATTTTTTAAAATGAAAACATGTCACACATTAATAGTTAGTCATTTTATAACTAGATATTTCAAAACCCTTGAAGGAGAAGACATTCACAATCACTGGCCTCAAAGTTTCATAGACGCATTTAGAATTTTATAAAGAGGAGCGTAAAGAGGGTATAAATAGGTTGTTGAACTGAAAGGACTAAATGAACTTATTATTTAGGCAGTGAGAGGCAATACAATACTCAGATAACAGCTTTTTTTTTAAAGGGAGCGCATATCCATTTCATTCTTTCAGGATTCGCCCATGATTTAAGAGGGACGTTTTTGTTTAACAACTCGTTCCTTTAAAAGTCTGAAATCGGCATAACTTAACCCTCTGTTGCACATTTTAATGTGCAGGTAACAAACCTATTTTTATTGTTTAATACACATGAAAATATTTCAGTTCTGTTGTTAAATGTTTTGACTTCCAGGTAACAGTTTAAATAAACCATGGAATTATCTTTCGTTGGTTCCTCAATTGAACAATGTTACTTCTAGGCAATGTACCCATTTTTAACTTAACAAAATGTATTGCACAAAAACATACTTTTTGTGCAATGCAAAGAAAACATTTTCCATCGTAGTTTTATAAATCGTACAATAAAGGATTAAAACCTGTATTTCCAAAATTTCATACTTCTTATCGAAAGATAACAACTTTATCACATGTACGCCCTACTAAAAGTTAATTGTACTTAGAAGACTAATCGTAATCGTTTGTTATATCAGAAGGCTTTATAAGAAGGTCAAGAACTGTTGAGTATTTCAGGGTTCTCAGTAAGGCAAGAGATATGATACGTTTGTCGAAATGTTGCTTCAGTTCGGTCTGTGCCCACTTGTTGCATGAAAACGTCCTGTCCCAAGGATATACGTGATTCATATGCTGTGCCCTGGGTCCTAAAGGTGCAAGAACAGTTAAGTAGCTACAGAAGTGAGAGGAAATTATTTTGAATTTATAGGGAAAAGAGTATTGAAAACTCTTTGATTGCACTACAAAAACAAATACTTTGGGAAGAAACATTCTGAGTAAGCTATTGTGTAAATCCTACATTAATTCAACGTGCGTGTATTTATGTTTGTATGTCCAGCTAACTCCTCCCAAACTTAGCAGGTGAACTCGGAGTAGTCTTATTTATAAGCTAGTCCCTACTATGGGAGGGGGGATAGAACGCCATATTAAGGTTACTCAGGCATGATGGGAGTTTAATTGTAGGCTTACAGGATCGCTGAATCACAGCTTGACATCGAAAAATGTGTTTCTGGTCCTCCTCGGGGTCCCAGAGACGCGATGTTTTAAATTATGTTCATACCCCCTTTCTCACAAGCTAGCGAGACCAGTCTTAGCACAAATGCTAAGGTATCACTGGCGAGAACCCTAATGTTTTTTTTGTTTGTTTGTTTTTCGTGTCGCCCACCCTTGGATAGCCTATATAAGTAATTGGGGATAATGCAAGAGATTGGTCGATACACTGAGGTCTCTGTGACTTATGAAGGGCCTTTGGATCCCACAGCGGATATCATACTAGTTTAAATAAAGATAAGATAAAGTGAGTAATATCTGTTATATTCTTAATCTTAAAATACATCGTATCACCACTTTTATCAATTTCTTCCCAAATAACTGAGTCTGCTTGTTCTTGATAGTCATCGGGCATCTTGTTTTATGGTAAAACTGTATCTTATTCAAATAGTTCCCCGAATATTCGGGTTAAAACAAACTCTAATTTAGGTTGATTTTTAAATGCAGAAGAGATTATTTTATGATAATAGTTTTTTACCTAATTGTCATCAGTTCATAGTTAAATCTTACTTTAACAGAAATGTTCTTTGTTTTTGTTTTTAATGTTTGATTTTATGGTATTCTTAGAGTTGGCCCACGCGAGCAATACACCACCTCTATATATTGCGAAACTATCATGAGACTAATGACAGATGAAAATGTTGTTCGATCTCAAGGAGCATGTGCAAGAAAACAGAAAATGACAGGTATATATACTCTCACATTTTCGTGAGCTGAGATCCTTACAAGTTTTTACAGCTTGGAAAAGTGTCCTTTCATGCCTTAAGGTATCGTGTGTTTTGTGCATCCATAGTAAAGTGTTTATATACTCCTAGCTAAATAAATTTGACTTACTAATATTTGATTTCAGTATGCGATTTTACGTGAGATATATTTCGTAATTACAAGTTGTGTTAGAATATAAGCTGATTCTGCATTATTTTACTGTGACATATACATATTATATAGTTCTAACTAATATCAGACATTATTTGTCGTGCTTTTGTAAGTTTATTGTTTTCAATAATGTAAAAACAACAACTTTTGTATCTGTACCTTTTGACTTTATTTACACTATTATACTTTCATATCTATGTTTAGTGTTATTTTGCCTGGTCCTTTTTTAAGAACCATCATATTTTCAATAATATATATATATATTTCTTATAGGTCACTATAAAACCAGGATTCCAGGACGTCAACATTTCTTTGACAAAAAGTTTGTAAACTTTGTAAAACACTAGCTGTTAAGTACGTGATTAAAACTTTAATGATAATAAAATTCACATCTTGTTTTATCAACACAACTCACTTCCAACACGAGAAAAAAATACTACAACAAGAAGGCTTAGCCATGTGTTCGTCCACATCGCCATTACTCAGTAAGTACTATGTGGAACATTGGGAAGATTATGCCCTTAAACCAATCCCCTTAAGACCCAGGATTTGGATCGGATATGTTACCGATACATTCTGGATATGGCCACAAACTATATTTGAGATCCAAGAATTCAAAAACTACCTGAACAGACAACATCCAGCAACACAATTCACGGTAGAAATAGAAGTTCATAACAAAAGTTCCATTCCTAGATGTGATGGTTACCAAGATACATTACGTATGTGGTACAGAAGATGTTGATAAATACCTTGAACATAAATACCCAAAAAATGTGAATACAGGCTTCATAGTCTACCTCGTCTCAAGAATGAACAAGATTTTCAACACAAAAGATGTTAACAAGGATAAAGAAAAATACATCAATACAGCCCTCATTCAAAACAGATACCCTTAACACTGGTAAAGAAGAACTCCAAAAGTCATATTTTCATGTATTAAAAGTCTTCCAAGCAGCATTTAAAGATGATACACACAGCATAAAATCAAGTAGAGCATTCAGAAGTCACAATACAATACATTCTCAACTAGTGAACACCAAATGGAGAGTTAAAACTCTACACATAACATCCTATGTTAAAATAGACTCCAAAAAACAAAAAGGCTAACAAATATCTGAATTCAGGAGAATAATAGTCAGATCTATCTGCAATTGTCCATCGTTTTAAAGATTACATAATTAAGTTGTTTAATAACTGAAATAATGGAGTCTGAAAAGAAACATAAACACAAAAGAAACTTTATACATCTTGCCACCACAAACAATATTTCTCAGAACGTCTCTGCAGAGTGGCATCCGGATCGTAATAATTAGCGACTATAAAACAATAGAATCAAAGTAGAAACTAATTAGTAATAAAACTTAGATAAGTGATCAGTTTCTAGTGTCACAACGTTGCCATAAGTAGTAGTTGATGCTATAACTCTGTTGTGTATTAACTGCCAAGATATACAATTGTATATATATATATATATATATATGAGAGGATGTTACAAATCCCACCAGACTAAAATTTAAAGGTTTTAGCACATATCTCATTCTTACTTGAACTGATGCATAGATTCTCAATATAGTCTCGGCTACTTCCGGGTACTTGTCGGAAAGCCTGCGGCTGTGATCGTCGATCTTCCCTGCTCATTCGGCATAAGCGCTGAATTTCATCGTAGTCAGCCGAACGGCAAGTAAAAGACATTTCCATTAGGCACAGTTTTTCACATTCTTCTTTATTCTGAACATTTCTAACTTCACGGTCTACATAACCGTCCAGGAAAGCTTCTTTGACTCTCTCAAAAGTCCAGAGTTGATCTCCACAAAGACTGTCATAGGTTGACCTGTCCACTAAAAAATACAAGCAGTGATTGCTGTTTAACTTCAAGAAGTTTTAATCATCAGTGTGCTGAGTTACACAAACAGCACTTAACTACAACTGTTTATTTTAATCATCAGTGTGCTGAGTTACACAAACAGCACTTAACTACAACTGTTTATTTTAATCATCAGTGTGCTGAGTTACACAAACAGCACTTAACTACAACTGTTTATTTTAATCATCAGTGTGCTGAGTTACACAAACAGCACTTAACTACAACTGTTTATTTTAATCATCAGTGTGCTGAGTTACGCAAACAGCACTTAATTACAACTGTTTTCCAAGAATGTTTAGTACTTGGGTTACACAAGCAGCACTTAGCTGCTGCTTCTTTCACAGAAGTGTTTAGTAGTTGAGTCTACATTTCTTTAACAACTTAGTCTTGCCCAGTTTTTACCTGGAAATAATAATTAGAAACACACACACACAGAGAAATGTTTAGTAGTTGAGTTACAGAAACAGTACTTAACTACAACTGCTTCCACAGTAATGTTTAATAGTTGAGTTATACAAATAGTACTTAACTACAACTGCTTCCACAGTAATGTTTAGTAGTTGAGTTACCTAAACATTACTGTGGAAGCAGTTGTAGTTAAGTACTATTTGTATAACTCAACTACTAAACATTACTGTGGAAGCAGTTGTAGTTAAGTACTATTTGTTAGTTGAGTTATACAAATAGTACTTAACTACAACTGCTTCCACAGTAATGTTTAG